CCCCCCAAAAAAAACCTACAGACATAAACATGACAGACAAAAAAAACCCAGACAAAAGTAAAAATAAATTTGGGTGGTTCCCATAAGGGGGTCTAAATTTGGTCTCACTTTCAGTAGTAAAAGAGTTTTTACAGCCCTTGCAACACGAAAAGGTCATGTAGGTGTCGAAGATTGGAAGCGTTACCTTTTTCTTTGTAGGTTACACTCTGGCGACATCTCTAATCTTCGGCACATATAGCAGAAAAAATTTGTTTTAGTTTTAGTAAGAGTTTTACGGCACTTGCAACACATTAAGGTCATATAAGTGCCGAGGATCAGAGGTGTTACAAGAGAGTGTTTGTGTTGGAAGTGCCATAAAACTCTTATTGCACTAAAACTTGTAAAGAAACAACCCAAAACAAGAGACAAGAGATGTACATCAACAAAATGACAGTCTGTTAGTGCGGACAGACAGACACAAAGACAGATGACACAGACAGACAGAGAGACAAACAGACAGACAGAGAGACACAACTGTTTTTTTCTCTTCAGTTTGATAAAAGGTTTTTTTTGCTGCGTAAGGTCAAATGAGCCCGTGGAACACAAGTTGGTTATATTCACGTTTGCAAATGACAATGGTTGAACATGTAAAATCATACTATAACAACTTCTGTTTTAAAATTAAAAGCATTAATTAATGTGTTTAAAATAACACCAATCACATTTTGGAGTAAAAACTGGAGGCCTTTATAAAAACTGAAAATTCTGTTGGGATCAATGATGGAGACCAAATTTTTCGAAGCATTAATTTGAGTTTTAAAAAAGTAAAATAAAATACTAGACACAAGAGAAGGAAAGAAAAGAAGTAAACCTACCCCCACCCTCCACCTACCCCCACCCTCCACCTACCCCCACCCTCCACCCACCATCTTTTGCTTTTTTTAGGTAGAGGTTTTACGGCGCTCGAAACTTCATAAGGTCATATGAGCGCCAGAAGATTAGAGGTGTTACAAGTGAGTAACAAACATAAAAAAGGAGAGGAGATAAGGACGATAGATCTATGTTTGATAGGAAAGAAAATGACCCCAGGATGTACGGATAGGGAAAAGCGCACGACTCCGCCATACGCCCTTTAGAAAAGTGACCTATGAGAGAGCCTTGCACTTCAGGGGTGATTTGTTTCTAACCGTCTCTCTCCCACCAACACACAAGAGTTGTACACGCCTTCATATGACACACAAACACACACACACATGGCACGGCTGGCACAGCTATCGTAGCAAGCAAGAACTGACCAAAAACATCACGACAAAATTGGACGGGTAGGAATCCACAGTACCAAAAGGTGTCACTTTCACTTAAAATTAAAAATTTTTAAAAACAATGAAAATTTGACTTTAAAAAAAAAACAAAAAACCCCAAAACTAACAAAATAAGTCCCAATGATAAATACCCAAGAAACTGAATATTTAAGAGGTTACAAAGAGGTCAGTCTGAAGATCACCACAAATTGATGCGTTTTTCATTTGAATGCAAGAATATGTTGTTCCGAAGTCTATTTTAATTTCATTAAAGAATTTTCCAGCACTTGCGGAACAAATAACCTAGGTCGTATAAATGCCTAAGAAAAGGGTTTACAAGAAAGTAACAAACATAAAAAAACAGGAGAGATAAGGATGAATGTTCGGCAGGAAAAAAGGAGTAAACCCACACCAGAGCACCTGCCAACCACCCCCCACATATACTTTGTTCTTGATTTAGTTACAAGAGATAGAAAACACGACAGGAACATCGTCGATTCCCGCGACTTGTTAAAAGAAATAAAAATGTCACCACATCTGGGTCACCGCATCATATTACTCTATGTCCACATCTTCTTTTGAAAATAACCCCCCCCCCCAAAAAAAAACCAATTGGGTGGTCGGCGGATGCTCTGGTGAGGCTTGCTCTATCTTTCCTATCAAACATATATATATCATTCTTATCTCCCCTCCTTTTTCTTCTCTGTAGGCCATTCTCCAATAACCCCTGTAATCTGCAGAACTTACGTGAGCTATTTACGAAGCAAGAGTTGCTTAACTTATTAGAACTCAACACTTTGCAGTCGCACAGCCAGCAGTACAAAATACCCCATCTGGTCACCCAGCCAGGAGAACGACAGCAACGGACTTCTTAGGCCTGGCGCCGCATAGCTGCGTCGGGTGACCGGAGTGGACCATTTTCACTGCTGCATTATTGCTGCGAGTGACCGCAAAGTGTTAGAAGAGATTTGTTCTATTTCAGTACTCGTCAAAGTGACACCCTTTGAGACCAGGAAAAGAACAGTCCACACAGAACACAGACAGGTAAAGGGTGAGCACATGTAGAGCTACAAGGAGGGGTGAGGGGGTACGGGGGGTGAGCACATATAGCTACAACAAGGAGGGGGGTGAATGGGTGCGGAGTGAGCAGACAGGATGATGCCACACACACAGAGAGAGACAGAGCAGTGGGAACCCTTCTCACAATTATCAAAGATGGATGGACGCTGTGTGTCATGAACACATGTTATGAATATATACATTGCGAATACGCTCTGTATGCGTTTTGTACATATATGTGTTATGAATATAATATGTTTTGTGTATTGTGTATAATATACGTCATGAATATGTTTTGTGTGTTATTAATATTATGTGTTAGTGTTAGGAATATCAGTTATGCATATATATATTATGAATATGGAGAATGTGCAAGTGTTATGAACAACTTATATGTATGTATTATATATGTGTCTGAATGTGTGTGTGTTTGTGCATGCGTATGCGCCTACACTAAAGACTGCATTTGTGGACCTGTGATTGATGAGCACTTCTGGAAAGCACTGCGTATGTGTGTGAGAATGTGTGTGTGTGTGTGTGTGTGTGAGTTTCTGTGTGTGTGTGTTTCTGTGCGTGTGTGTGTGTATGTGTGTGCGCACGTGTGTGTGTGTGTGTGTGAGTGTGTTTCTGTGTGAGTGTGTTTCTGTGTGTGTGTGTGTGTGTGTGTATGTGTGTGCGCACGTGTGCATGTGTGTAGAAGCAAAAGACCACTCCAACCTCCAAACACGTCAAGCGCCCAGTCCAGGGAGCACCACTCACTGACCGGAACAGACCAGTTCACACCGGCACAGACAGACAGAGAGAGAGAGAGGGGGGGGAAGCAAGATCTGTACCTTAATCCCCGAGTCTTTCTGAGCCTCTGCTTCGCCTATCCTTGCATCTCTCTTCACCTGAGCTGTCCGCGCCATGCCCAGTGATTTCAGGTACAGCTTGAGTCAAACACACACACACGCACGAACGCACGTAGCACCCACGTACGTACGCACACACACACACACGCCAAACGTGTGTGGGGGGTGGTGGTGGCGGTGGTGGGATTGACGAGGGCGTGGGTGATGATGTAGTGAAGATATGGGCAGCAGCGACAGCCAGGGTAGAGGCAGTCCGCGGAAGATTGGATTTTTTTTTTCGATTTTTTTTAAAAACCAGAAAAGGGGGGGACCATGGGGGGTTGGGGGGAGGAGGAGGAGGGGGAAACGAGAAGAAGAAGAAAAAAAAAAGTGCGTGATAAGCAACATGTTTGTGAGGACACAAGGGGGAGTCAGGCTTCCCCTGACCAGCGGCGGTCAAGCAGTGTGATGGCGGGCGGTCAGTCTGAGAGCTGGTGACCTCCGGGCCTTCCGACATGCTGAGGAGCCCTGTGGACGTCACGGCCCGGCTGTAGATAGACGTATGTCGCTAGGGGGAGGGGGGAGGACGTATGTCGCTAAGGGGGGAGGGGAGAGGATGGCTGAGGGGTGGGAGGGGGCCACGAGACAGCAGGCTTGCCAACTTCTTCAAAAACCCAGACAGGAGGAGACATCCAATGTTACGACATCGGATTACGCAACAACGAAGACAAAATTACATCGAGTGGGACTGGTTTTAGCACAGTCTTGTCACAAAATGTCCCCCCTTAAATTCCTCCATTGCCGAAATCGGGACAGCGGAAATTTGGGACAGCAGTTGGCAAGCCTGGGGTTAGGACTTGGAGGTTTGTGGGTTCGAACCCCCCCCCCC